AGGACAGTTTTAACTTCTGGCGAACCTGAATGGGGATCCTGAGACAGACAAACTGATGGTTTTGTGGATTTGTGCAATGCAATGAGCCTGTCCTGAGGTATTTTGGCAGTACTGATAATTAAGGTAAAACCTGCCAAATGTAGGTGGCATCTTTACAGAGAAGATGCTTCTATCTCTTTCCAAGGTGTTCCTTTCTCTCTGGAGAATTATGGTGGCAAGTTGCATGTGAGTTCCACTCTGGGAAACCAGAGAGTTGTATGAAAAAAGGGAAGAAGGGGTATTAGATGGAAGTCTGGTGAAGAAACAGATAAAAAACTGAGAGGAGCAAAAACCAGTCAGCACAGGGAGATGAAATTCCAGACAAAACCATAGCAAAGTCCTTTTCCCTCCCCCTAAATATGTTATCCTGACGAGGTGAAACACCCATCTTGGGTGACAAGAAAATGCATTACGTTTTTGTGTGTGTTGAAAAAAACAGATATAAATTACCTAGACCATTTGTCACTTAGAGGCATAAGAAAAGAGAAAGAAAAAAAGTTAGATCTTGGTATTTAAATTAGTTTGACCTTTATATTAAGTTTAAAACCACACACTGCTCCCTTTCCTACAAAGCCATGTATCATTCTTCATACGAGCAAAGGTGTTAGTATGGTAAGTATTTGAGAAACACTGGTTTTAGAGATACCTAGAGCTACATCTTGAAATTCAAGTCATGTACAATTCCTTGGCCTGGCAAGAATGTTGGATAATCAGCTTAGTAACACATTATTGAGATAGCTATTTAAGTAGCACTTTGTGTAGAATTACTTAGAAATGGGAGTGTTGCTTACCAGCCCTCCCAGGAGTGAGATACGTGGTGAGCATTCACTGGGATTTTTGGAAGTGGGCTCTGCATGCTTAATTTTCTTACCCCTCTTCCTTTATGGGGTCCTAATTCAGCTCCAGAGATGAGAGAGTCATAGAAAGAAGTAGAGAAGACATTTTGTCCAGTTCTCTTTGTAGCTACATCTTCAAAATGTTTAGAAACTGTCGAGCAGCCCAAGGGAGAGGCATAGTCTGGTCCAATTGGCAATGGTGTGTAGTCACAGATCTGCACCATTTCATGTCCCCTGACTGGGAATTTGAGATTCCATCTCAAAGAATGCAACAGGTGGGTGAGTGACCCTTGTTTCTGTCTCTGTTAGAAAGTTTTCTCATAGACTAACTCTTACCCCAACCCATTGACTGAAACGTGTTTTTATTTCTGTTCATAACCAGTTTCCCTCTTGAGTAATACCTCTTTCTTCTGAAGGTTGTCTGTAGTTCTCTGTCTTAAGAGCGAGATGGGAGAAGCAGCTACTCCAGTGCTTACATCAGGCAAGCAGACACGCAGTAAGAGTGGGGTCAGGCATCCTTAGGAGCTTCCAAGCAGTCTTAGAGCAGTTGCTGCTCTGCTAATTGTCTCCATCTTTTGCCTTGGGCTTTTCCCTCAACACTGGTAATGCTTTAAGCACTTCAGCATCCGTTTCAGTGCAAATCAGCCAGGTTAGCTTAAATTGCTTTCCGTTTTGGTCTTGGTTAGCCTACATGAGTTTGTGATCAAACGGACTGAGAGAACCCAGGAGTTGCAACTGGGAACCACCCCAGCAAGATCCTGAGGAGCGTACCAGTCTCCACCTAGCATATCCCTGTTATCCAGCATAGACTCAACGTTTCAGGGTCCTAGATGCTTTTGTCCTTAAGCAAAATACTGGAGTGTAATGTAGCATGGAATATATGCTTAAGGGGCACTTCTGATGATGGTTTCTCTGAAACAATCAACTAGCACAGCCTATCTCCTGACACCATTTGCTGTGGTTTGTCCTGAGTTTTGTGGGCCTGGCCTGTCAACCCAAAATTTGAAAAGGAACCAGTGAATTTCTCACCTCATCGCCTTTGGTCAAATCTCTTTGCAAAGTTGCATCATGGGGGGGCCTCTTTACTAAGAGCAGGGATATACGCTGTGGATTGTGCTGCGAAGAGTTTGCTGCTCCCCGTTCACTGCATAGACACTAGTTGGCAGTTTGTGCTGAAAAGAAGGTTACATATGTTTTATCTCTAATATTTGTAGATCCGGCATTAGTTTTCATTTCTGTGCTGGACTAGGTTCTGTTCTTCCTAGAAGCATTTTGCAAGTAATACAAACTTGCATCACTAATTTATTGTTATAATAATGAATGATGCATGAATTATTCCAAAAGTACGCCCAGTGCTGGTGTGATTCGTATTGGTGTCATCCACAAATAGTGTATATTTTCCAAAACCGAAACAATTTATGGTGACTATGCCGAGAAGCTGAAATGTATTTAAGTATGTAAAAAATTATAAGAAAAGAATTATAGTTTAATAACAAGCAATCGATCACGTGCATGGCAAAGGTGTGAAGGCTTTTTGGTTGTACTGTGTTTGGTACAGCACCATATGGACTGTACAGTGACCTGGAAGACAGCAGTGGCGTGGGAAATTGGTGTCACACAAATTCTGTGTCCTAGTCTCACATGCGTTATGCATGATTCTTTCCCATTTTCAATTCTACTGAAGATGTAAAATTTTCATTATACTAAATCTTGTAATTAGTCGAATAGCTTTATTTTCCTCTTTTCTCTTTTCCTTTCCTTTTCCTTTTCCTTTTCCCAATTAGCAGCTTGGAGTGAGTGTTTGTCCATAGTGCCTAGGGATCCCTGAGAAGCTTCTGAATCAAGAATCAGTTTTTCACTGTCTGCCCAGGGAAGCTTGAATGCATTCTTACAGAAAATTTTCCTGATATTTGGCTGGCTGTGCTACATGATTAAATAGCTGTTGACACTTGGGTTCTTTTTGGGATTGCCATTAAATCCTTCCAGAATGCTTCACAGTTAGTAAATGTATAAGGTGATGGAATAACCTACCTGGAAGGGAGGACTCAGGCTGTCATCCCCCAGTGGAAGTGTCTTCATGGCTACTTGGTGTTGCTGTATATGCGGCTCCCCTTTTTTTTCTTGATTAATACTTATAATTCCATAAAAGACAATTGCTAATCTAGTTTAGTGTAAAGCAATATACAATTAGACACATATATATGAACATATTAATAGTTTGAATTAAAGCTTGTCTTCATTGTGGCTGCATTCACCATAACGAATGCAGTTTTTATAGTGGAAACTCTTGAATTTAGAATTTTAGCACATTCATTCTTGCAGTATCTAAAGCCTGTTTGAGAAATCCCGTGTAGGAACAGGTTATTTAATGTCCTGCTCTGCTTGTAACACAGCTTGTCTACACTGTGGATTGACAGTTACACTGGTTTTGAGGTTATAGAATCCTCGGGGAGTTTGGCAGCCCAGTTTTAATGTTTCTGTTTGGAAGCTGATAGAATCCGTGTGTTTCACGTAGGCAAAGAGAGAAAATTATAGTGGTTTGATGCCATTCCTACAAATTTCTCCCTAACATCCAAGCATTAGCTTTAAATGTGTGTTTTTCGCTGTTCCATCAGTACAGTCTTCTCCCTATAATTCGAAACTGAATGAGAAAAACAGAGACTTGACTGTAGAAGTGTCCCGTCCAGCCGTGTGTGATACCGCAGGTGATTGTTGTGTTCAGGCAGGAACCATGGTTTTCACCATCCTGTCTGGATCATCCCATACAGTAGGATGGCACCTGCTGGGGTGGACCAGTGTGACGGCTGGAAGGACACAGGCAGTTACAGTATGGATTAGTCATGGTTCTGTTACACTGTTTTGTGTGTATGAACTTCTCAGTAAGTATCTTCAAAGAGTGCATTTTATTTGTATTTTGTAAAATTGAAGACTTTAGCAAAAATGTAGTCTCTCTTATTTTGCGCTTATTCTCTTGCCTAAAGCTTGGAATTTTAATATTTTTTTCCATAAGTTAGATCTCATTTTTGGGCTCTGTTGGTGCTGTTTTAGAATTAGATTGACATTTATTACTTTTCCAAAAAAGATTTATTTATGAAAATACAGAACAAGAGTCTCAATTATAAGCAAGGCCAGGGTTTGTAAAGCACCAGGCATTCCCTTCCTCTGTACAGGGGCTCTTTATGTTCCTCTTTTCTTGCAGCTGAAATTTTGAACTGTGAAGCAGTGCCAGCTGGAGTGGCACAAGCGATTTCTCATAGGAACAGATGTCTCAGAGATGAAATTACTAAAGGGCCAGATGGCCCCAATCCCTTTTCCCGTTGTTTAGCCGTCGTTCGTTATTAGTCAATACACCGTGCTCTCTGTCAGTCAGGCAGGAAAGTGCCAATCAGGTTGAGATCGTTTCCACCCCTGGTCTCTTTAGGTGATCTCTCCAGACAGTTTCCTGCTGCCCCTCCTCAGTAAGCAGCTGATAAGTCAGCCTGATATATGTCTTTGCCTCTTCCATCACTTGCCACAGTGAGAACGTAGACAAAAGCAAAGAAAACTGGAAGAAACCAATGTTGCAATGTAACCATTCTCCTGGGTTTTGTTGTAGTCGCTTTCATGTAGTGCATGAAACAACATCTGTTTCTGTACCAAATTCCATCCTGGCCCGGTGACACGCTCCTTTGATTTAACCAAATAACTTTTTCCGCCTTGCAGTTGTTCTGCATGTCTAGCTGGAGAGAGCGGAGTCTGGTCAGCAAATGCCAGTGACCATGTTTCAGAACTCGTTGTCTAGAGGAGGTTTGGAGCTTGGATTTGTAATTCTGTTTGAAAAGAGGGAGGTAAAAGATGGACTAATAGACTAACAAGCAAAGTGGTGTGAGAATTTTTTGTGATAATAGAAATATCGTATCTGAATGTAGAAATATTGAAGTTATTAGATAGGTCAGTGAGTTCAAGGACATCAGGGAACAGAAAGTTAATGAGATGGCAGTGAGAACAGTGACAGGCCCTACATAGTGAAGTTCATCAAAAGTAAAAGCAAAATATTACAGACAGGGCAACGGGAATGAGAAGTAAATGGTATGTGTCTGTCATCTGGTTAATACTTTTCCTTCTATTTTCTTTTTTCCTTATTAGTGATGCTATTGCTGAGATTAGAGCTGTCTGTATTGAAGAAATTGGTGTCTGGATGAAAATGTACAGTGATGCCTTCCTGAACGATAGTTATTTAAAATATGTTGGTTGGACACTACATGACAGGGTAAGTATTGTGCATGACTGTACACAGCAGAGTGCACTGCAGAGAGCTGCTGTTATACTGCCCGAGATATGTTTAGTCTGTCACCTTTGATTTATAAAGAGATTGTTCTTTTTTCTCGCCTGTTATTTATCTGTCAGCCAGCTTATTTCAAGGCATTCACTTAAATCAGAATACAGTAGTCCCACAGTGTGTGCTTGGTTCTTGTGCTTTTTGTGTTTTCAGGCTCCATTAGAATATTTTAATAGAAATGTTTCCATGGTCCTTTTCTTCTGATCACAAGAGAAGGAGAAGCCTCCGCAAATCACCCCTGAGAAACCTTGCATCTGAAGCAGAATGGAAAAGAGATTTCTAGATATGTCTTCCATTTACATTGTCTAATAGTTAGGGAAAAGAGAACATCTCTGGTTCCCCAACAGACGTCACTGGCTCCACAGCCAGTGGAATTCTCATCAGTTTATTTTCCCTTCGGGGATCTCTTCAAGGTTCTCTTTAGCTTTTTCTTCAAAAAAATGTTGAAACACCAGGTGGAAGCAAAAAGATTTCTATCCGCAGGTTCTTTCCTATCTCACCACAGTTCTTGGTACTGCTGATACCCACAAGGTGCCTCTGCTTGGTGGCAGCAGGCCTAAGTACCGCCCAGTTCCTATCTGTACCAGAACAGGACTTTGCACTTGTGAAGGTACGCATTTTTTGTGCACCAGGCAGCAACTGGGACTAGCAGTCTTCCCACCCTTGCCAAAACCACTGGAAACACTTGTTTTTCTCAGAACTGTTTTGGTAACAGTATCTAAGGAAAAGAGATGAGACCTACCTGTACTGCTGAATTAATGCAGTTTAATTAATTTGATAATGCTTGTTAAATGCCAGCATCCTGATTCAGACCATTTTTTTCTCCCAGCACTGCTGGAAAAATTTCGTTCTGATGACTTGCATAACTGGTGGTTAACAGCTGATTCTTTAAAAAGATTATTTCTTCATGAACTTCGGACAGCATATTAACATTTAGGCTATGACTCGGTCACTCTTTTGCTTGAAGCCTGAAGAAGATCAGTTAGAAAGATGTTAGCTTTTGCTAATGAAAGAAGTTAGCTGCTGCTGGTTCTTGTGCCTTAGCTATCGCTGACGAGGATCTACATCTTAGCTTGATTTGGACCAGCAATTTACTTGGTAAGAGTATCCTGTGCGTTAGAGACTAGATGTATGATATCTTTCCTCTCTAAACCTGTAATTCTCAAACTTTTCCTTTACAAACTTGCCCCAAACTTGTTGCATTACATCTCATTGTTACAAAACTTGGTTAGGAGGAAAATCCTGCTCACGGCTACAATCAGCCGTGCCCACTGTTTGCTCTAGAGACACTGCTCCTCCTGTCATTGCAGCTTGGACAGGGAAGCGTGGCCGTCACCTTGCTCTGAAGGGCAGTACCGCGTACCTCCTTGTTAACGTCGGTGTGCCTCACTGCTAGCTGGAGAGCACATCAGTGGGGAGGTCAGCTCGGGTTGGAGGATGAGGATTTGGGATGTGGTGGAGGGCTTTGTTTCATTAGGGTTTAATTACAAATAATTGTGTTGGATTTTTTGAAGCACATTCTAATCCTAGCAGAACTTTTCCACGAAGTAGCACTTCCAGTGGCAGAGTAGAGTCTCGCAGTGCAGCTCTCAGTCCCCTTCTAGTAGCTGTGAAGTCCAGCCACTTCTCACATAGCTCCCTTTAACCAGCTGTGAAATCCAGACATTCCTCACGGCCCTCTCTGGCTGGTGTCAGCTTCTCACACTGTTATCTGTCACTTCCAGCAATTTCTCCTGTCGTGTCCAGTAGTTTCACACATCCTCTTCAGTTGGCTTAGCCTCAGGCCAGCATCTAGTCATCTGCCTGTAGCTTAACATATATTTTTACCTCAGCTTTTTAAAAATTAATATGTTCTTTCATATCAGACAAATTCTATATTACAGTGTTATGGTAAAAAAAAAAAAATGGTTTTCCATCTGGGCCAGACACAGAAGAGTTCTGTCAGGATACTCTCCTGCCTCTGCTTGCTTGGTAATATTTATCAGTGCAGCCTCAGAAGTGCCTCGGGGTTCTCAGTCTTTAAACCTCTAGCTGATCTGCTTAATATCCTGATACATGTGATATGTAATATTTTTATTGATGTTGTGTATGTTTAATGTATAGAGTGAGATAGATCAGGTAGCATGGGGAAGAGTCAGAGGCAGGTGGGCCACGTCTCAGAGGATGGAAAGGAAGAGGACAGAGAGAATGAGACATTTGGGGAGGCACAGAAAGAAGGAGGAGGGAAGTGCAATGGGAAGAATATATTCAAAAAAGATGGAATGAGAACCAATTAAAAATGCAAACCCTGCAAAAGTACGAGATCCTGTAACAGTGTGGTTTTCATTGCCGCCACCTGAAAAACTTGCCTCACAGTACCCAAGTTTACTTTGCATTGCTCAGGAGATAATTTTTGCTATGATCAGTACTTAAAACACTGAAAAAATGAAGGCTGAGGCAATAGTCATAAGGTATTTCCATTTCGTATGAAGAGAAGTCACCCCAAAATGATTAACTTCTGTGGAAGCTTACTACTACAGAAAAGAGAGGAGGCAGCAGTGCAGGACATTCGTGAGCAGTTTCATATTCTGCTTCAGAAAGCATACGAATTAACCGCAGGGAGGACACAGTTCTTATACTTCCTTGTAGTAACTCAGTGTAATCTTCAGAGGTAGGATACAGAAGTTTAGTTCCTGAATTTGGGAAATCTGGATATGTCGCATGTTAAGCCTGTAAATCTTTCCCAGATTTCAGATGAATGTCTGTAGGGCTTTATGTTTTTTATAAATTGCTTTCTCATTTGAATAAGAGTTTCTAGTTTTGCCTTTCTCTCCTTTTAAGCTGCTTTTTCATTCCTGCAGATCTGGGAGCATAAATTACAAATATATAAAAACATAATTTAATTGCATAAAAGTCTCTCTTTAAAAAAAAAGTGCTAAATCAGACTGTCCAGTTTTAATTTTCACCTGCCTCACTGATGTGTGGAACTGTTTTGAAACCCTAATTGTGTCTCTAGATACTTAGACAATCGTGATTCTTAAACCAGTTCCTAACACATAAGTAGGTGTCTTTTCGTTCTTTGCGTGCCTCTGCTTTACTGATTCTCTATTTCTGCGAAAGGAATGAACCCAGGGTCCTCTGGAACAGATGCTATTTGAATACTTCATTGTGATGGCATCCTAACTTAAAAGGATGAAAAAATAGCACTTCTTTTTGTTAAGATTGTATAGAAACTGAAATTGCAGTTTTCCCAAACTTCTGAATGTTTAACCTGATAGAATCTCCTTGGTACCTAATTTCCTTGGGTTTGGGAAAGCTTGAGAAAATAAAAAAGTGCATCAGATGATACAGTATCTTCATAAATAGCATGGAGTGGGCACGTGCAGACAGACCACAACTGCTGCCCCTGCCAGGAACGCTCCTGCCACAGGTACTGATGTGCTGCAGGACATTTTCATCTCTTTCTCTCTGGCGGTGTCACTGTTTCTGTCATTAGGCAGCAGATTACCTCAAAATCCACTATTCTAGAGCATCAAAACGCAGCACAGTATATCACAGTCATCCCATAAACTGTGAGATTGAAGATACCCGGTAATTTAGGTTATTTTTCTACACAAGAGGGGGAAAAAAAAACCAAAACAGTGCAGTCTGCAGAAGTAGAATCATAGTATCATAGAAACACAGGATGGTTTGGGTTGGAAGGGACCTTAAAGCCCGTCCAGTGCCACCCCTGCCATGGTCAGGGACACCTCCCACTAGCCCAGGTTGCTCAAAGCCTCATCCAGCCTGGCCTCGAAATATGATAGGGCAAAGAGCTGAGCAAATTAATTATCTATTATTAAAACCTCCGAAATTTTTAAAAACCAGCAAAATAGCCTTAGCCACCAAAAAAAGAATTGGAAAACTCCAAAAGAAGAAACATGAGGTGTGAAAAGAGAGGTATGGCTTTGCTGGCTCTCTTGACCACCCACCTACTTAAAATTGTGTTTCTGGGGGCTCAACAAGTCATCATCTCTGTGTGATCCAAGGCTTCGTCTGGTGTGTGAGCTGACACATAGCAGTGCATCCCTAATCGCCATTTCTGGAGCTGTGGTATCCTTGAATGTTCAGAGAAGTCTGGCTCTCACTGAGAGTTGGCAAACTAATGCTCAAAAGTATCAGCTACATGGAACACAAATAAGGATCTAAGCTGGTTTGATGCCAGGCTGTAGATCACTGTGAGACTTACACAAGAGTTGCGGCTTGTTGGTCTGAGTCCTGTGATTAGCATGTAAAAAATATGAAAAGGTTGTGCTTCCATCCGGATGGATTCTTCATCACAGCTCTGCCATGGTAAAGAGGATTTTGGGTAGAGCGTGACTCTCCCAGACAAATGTAGACTACCCCACACTGCTGACATATAAGGTGTATGTGTTGCTTTTTGCTTCATTAGCAGTGGTGACAAGTTTTTTTTTCTCAAAACTCAGAAGTGCCTGGAAGATTATCTCAAGAAAAATAGGGAAAATATGAGAAATGTTTGTCATTAAACAGTGTTGATAAACATTTGATGGTTTTGTTTTATGTTCTGATTTGAAACTGTAAATAAAAGAAAGCATTAACATTTAAGTATTAGTGCGAAGCATTTCTCATATTAATGGAAAATAATTTTATATAATAAAAAAATGTAAATAATTATCTAAACACACTTTGAGAGAAGGGGATTTACAGGAATAATTAGACTGGAGAAGGAGGCATGCATAGAACCGATGAGGGTGTGGATGAATTCAGGGTTCTGCAATAGTCAAGTGTCACAATTACAAATTGGACAAAACCCCAAGTAAGTATATGTTTCTGGAAGATAAACTCAGGAGAATGGAAGCTCTTAGTTGTTAGAATGCTGATAATGCAAATATTTTGTCCATTATTTTCTTGGGAAATGTCAAGGTTTTCCTTTCGGGTGTGTTCTTTGTGGCTGTAAAGCATAGATTTTTGACTACACAAAAATAGCTGGAAAGTGATGCTCATTTTCTTTAACAGAATTAAAGGTACCGCATGGTTGCAAATATTTGCTGCCTTAGGTTTGACTCATGCTCACTGTGAACTTCAGCTCAGAACTGCAGAAAATCTGGCTAAAATCTAGCCTGGGAAATATTCTTTTTTCTTATTCCTTTCCTGCTTAAGGCAGAGGTCACTGTATATCTGCGGTGGTGTTCACAGACAGTCGTGTTTTCTAAAAAAACTCTATACTGTTGGTTACCCCACAGCTTTCTGTGGCAGTTTGAGTGCTTAACTATGCTTGCCACTGAAAAATTCTTCCTCACATAAGCTAAAGAGTCTGCGTTGTAATTTTTATTTATTATTTCTTTTCCTACCCGCTGTCCACATAAAAAGTGACAATTAGTTTTTTCCTTTTCCTTGAAAGCAAACTAATTTTATACGTTACGCTACAAAGATACTTCCAGAAAGTTTTCTTCATTACCTCTTGTGTCCATTCCATACTGTGCCCAGGCCTTCTTTATTTTATCTTCCTTCTGGTTTTTGTATTTCTCTTGTGCTTGTCCTCCTAATTAATTCATTGGTTGAATAAATTAATCTCTTAGTTAAGTAAGTCTCTTCCTGTCCTTGCTCTACACCCCTGTGTTTACAGCTTTCACCCCGACGTAGGTTTCTTATGAATTACCCTAACTTCAGCGTTCCCACCCATTTACTTCATTGCTAGATGGGAAATTTCAGCTGTGTGTCTTTCCTAAATAGTGTTTGGGGTGTTAAAAGCTCATGTTACGTGGATGATTCTTGCAGTTACTCAGGAAGCATGTTGTGTCTGGCATGTCAATGGTCCACGGGACATTTCTGCACCTCCGTTGTGGGCTTCGGTGCCATGTATCCACGTACACCTTCAGTTCTGCCTTTCCTAGGTTCTTGTCCAGGTCATTGCTCTTTATCCTTCCTGGGGGGTCCCTGTCTCTAATCCCCGCTGGCTCTATTTTAAAACCTTCTTAACAGGATTAGCAAGCTGCCGTGCAGCTCTTCTTCCCTCTCTGAAGAGATGAACTCCATCCTTGACCAACAGTTTAGAAACCAGCCCTTTGTGCTATCAGAGAAGAACCTCCCGCTGTCGTTCATCTGCCAAGAAAGGCAGTCGTTTCTGGGGATTGCCTCGGCATCTCCTGGGCCTTTGTTCACAGCCGGAGGGACCAGGTCTAACACAACCGTTCTCTCTTCCTCACCTGCTCCTGCAGTCACTTGCCTTCTGCCTGGGATGTGGTGAGCAGCAGGAGGATGTTGCCTGGTCCAGTACACTTTTGTTAGCACCTGCCTTCAGCAGTCTGGCTGCCATGCAAGTACCGAATGTTCATGGGGGTGCTTCCTCCCTGCCTTGCTTGGTTTGCTCACTGGAGATTATAGACCCTCAGTATCAGTCCTGAGCCCTGGGACCATTGATCCGTGGTGCCCAGTGAAGTCAGGAGGGCTATGGACTCCACAGGAGTACAGACCTTACCTGCACGGGTCACAAGTCTCGTTGCTGTTGGCACCGAGTATTTTTCTGTGCCTGACCCATTTAGAGTTCTGCGTTTTGGGACTACAGCACTGGCTGAATAGCCAGCCACCTGCTCACACGTGGGACTGTAGCTAAACTGGCTGCTTCACTGTCGCTCCATAGCGTTCATCACGGACCAGAACCCATCCTGATCCTCTGCAGCTAAGTGAGCTAAGGCTGTAAGAGCCTTACGTCCTCTTCTAATGATTAGTCCCAACTCCCTCCAGTGACGCTGGCCCTTGAGTGCCACACCGCAGAGGAAGCACCGTTTCTGGTACTGCAGCAGAGGCGCCACTAAAAGAATGACAAGCAGCATTCCTCTGTGCTTATTTAGCAGTTGATCGCATCCGTATAGACCTTTTCTTCAAGAAGGCTCTTTCCTGTACCTTGAAAGATCTTCTGATAGATCCTCTAAACATAACTTTCGTCTCACTGACTTCATCCGCAGTGGTAGTCAAAAAGATCCCTAGAAGAAAGCGTGAGTGCTCAGAGGCTCCTCGCAGATATAAAGAGATGATCTCTCAGGAACAACAGTGCTTCAAGGAAAAGTTCTTCTGAAAATCCTCCTTTCAACTTCTGTCCTTCTTGTCTTTTATTTCAATTTTTGGGATAGATGGGAAGTAGGACAGATACTTAAAAGTAAGGATTTTTAGCTTCTGGTTTTATGTCAGTCTCTGAATGTTCTTTCAGTTTTCAGTTTGAGCAGTTTTTTAAATAGAGACTTCATTATAATATAATAGTCAGGCTCAGGAGTGAAGCCCTCTGGGTATGGAGTTTTATTTACAAAAGTCAATAACTTGTGTTAGTTCTTGAGCAGCTTGGGGCCTTAGACTTGGTAGTGTACTCACATTCATAAAGGTAAGTTCACGCTGCAGTGAACTCTACAGATTATATTTGAGCAGATGTGTGTTTATAACCTTTTTGCAATCTACAAATGTTTCTCAACAAGGATCCATCGTTTGCCAGGACGATGCAGTTGAGCTGCTGCACGTTTGCAGCCAGCCAGATGATGTGCCTGTGCCCAGAGGACCCAGCCCTTCTCTTTATTGTCACTGTTTCTGTAGGTGACAAACCTTGGTCCATAGGCACTGTCTCCTGACGCCCACGTTTCCTGCCTGCAGCTCACCAGGTCGAAGCAAGCCCATCTAAAGAGCTCCTGCCACTAGAACACCTCAGACAGACAGACAGACACGAGCTGCTCTTTTTCCCCAGGGCTCCTGAGGCTGTGGCTTGGTAGTGTTCTTGTGGCAGCGGTCTGCTCTGCGCTGGCCTTTCGCGTCCTGCAGCCTGTGCCTGTCCTGTCATGAGAGATGGGCTGTAGAAGATTGCAGAATAGTAAATCCAGTGCTCTGTCTCTGGGAAAAGGAAAGACAACGCTCGGAGATGGCCGAGTTGCTCGAGTGGGCTCAGTGGCGTTGAACACTTGTGCGTTGATTGTACACACCGATGCCAGGCAGGAGTTACCTTTCCTGACAATAAATAGCCACACTGTCTTTTCACCGGCCACCTTGAGGTCTTACGTCTTGATTTTGTATTTACTTGCTACATTTTTTTATCTTTTTGTGGAGTTACTTGAAAGGGAAACAGTAACAGACATGTAACTGATGGTACATTAAATTCTTTCTATATGCAAATAGGGGGAAATTGAACGTTGTTTGTAGCAGCTGCATGTGGTTTTTGGTTTTTAGCTGAACTGCAAATTGGCTTTGGTAACTCATTTGCGTAAAATTTTAAATGTACATTAAGCAAGTTACAATATGATACTGTTTAATATTCACGTGCATTTGATCAGGGTATTATATCGGCTAATCTTAGTGTGTTTTATTTAGCAAGGTGAAGTGAGGTTGAAGTGTTTGAAAGCTCTTCAGAGTCTGTATACCAACAGAGAGTTATTTCCAAAACTGGAGCTGTTCACTAATAGATTCAAGGTAAGAGGAAATACAGTTTTTGGAAGGAGTATAGAAAATAAAAGTATCATCTGTCTCATCCTGTTGCCGTCTTTGAGTCATGTATATTCAATGCAAAAATAAACTCATTTGTTTGTGACAAGGCTTGTAACTGCAATAGTAAAACTGTAGTACTTAATGCTGACATTGAGCCAAATTCATTTTACAGTGTTTATCTTGTAAGATTTGTCGGGCTTGGCCAGGATTATTATTTATCTGTTTGCATTATTGATAGTTTATACATTGTCACTATTCAATCTGCTTGTGCTTGTTTAATTTTGGATTTATTGAGTTTTAAGGACATGTGCTGGGTGTTTCACACAGTCTAAAATACGTCTGAAAGTAACAGCCTGTAACAAAAGATTGTTCGTAAGACAGCTTTTTAGCTGAATACGTGCTTCTGTTTGGAGGAAGAGGTAATTTGATCTGCACTGCAATATTCTACATGGTGAAATCCCTTGCTTTTCAGATTGCCCTCTTCAGGAGATAAGTACTGGAGGAGTGTTTAATGGGTTTTTTTACTAGCACAAACACACTGACTTTTTGCTTAATATCTTGATGGGAATGTGGCTGTTAATTCCCTTCATGGCATGACTGCTTTATTTCACAAGCAAAGTATCTGGAGAGATGAGTGTAGCAATACTGTCATTGCTGCTGGCTGGGATTCTCTGCGAAGAAAGCTTTCAGGCACCGTCACCACGCTGGCTGGCACCTTTTACCATCGCCTTTGTGTCCTGGAGAACACAGAGCTGCGGTAAAGGCTGCCTCACAAGGAAAAGCTGATTTCATTTATTTTCATTGAAATCATTATTATAATGTTGATGAAAAATTCTGTTTAGAAAAGCAGTGGAGATGACTGATTTATTTTCATTTAAATAATGATTATAATGCTGATGAAAATTTCTGTTTATAAAAATGGAATTTAAATACTCATAAATGCATGAGACTTAAAAACTTCTCACTGTAGCTTCTATACTTCACTGTCATTGTCTGTCACTGCAGTTAATAGTACCTCCTCCAGTTTGACCTAGGGAAGCACAAAATACAGAAAACTTGTCTTATCTTCCCTGTATGTAAACAATTCATAAAAACATAATGGTATTCCTCCTTTTACCACATCCACTTGAGAAGCAGAAGGAAGATACCTAAACTGTAATAAAGTCGAGGTATTAAGGAAGGCTTTTTGTTCAAAATATAGTTATAGAATTGAACACTCTTTATTAATAATCTTCTTCATTTGAGATTTTTAAGGGCAGATTAAATAAATATCTGTCAGGAATGAGCTAGGTATAGTTGACTTTAAAGCAGGAGATGAAACTAAATCATTTAATCAGATCACTTCAGGGCCTATATTCTTCTGATTTTATAAAATCAGTTTCTGGGACTATTGCCGTAAAGACAAACTTTCCTCTTACAGAAGGGTGCCTGACAGACAGGTTCAGACCTCAGACTGCTTCTGTCATGCCTCCGTAAGTCTGGTTTGCTTATCATCTCAGGTCAAGCAGAAATACCAGTTAACTCTCCAGAAAAATGAACGCTCCACCTCTCCTGCTTTTCTTTTCCATCTGTGCAGACTTACAGATTTGTTTATATTTGCTCCTTCTGTAATTCGATTTATTTTGAAACAGGTCACTAAAACTCTGATGGTCTCTGTACTGGAAAACATGCTGGTTGCTTCTCTCTTAGCCTCCTGTAATTTGTAAGAGAAAAAGCCGCTTTGAGTCTGAACCTGTCCCACCTACCAGCACAACTTCTCCAGGCAATTGGAGGCACTTTGAGAAGAAGTTACTCAGTGATGTACTTCAACAAACTACAGTAACATGAAAACACTAAATACTTCCTTCTGGCTCTTTTCACAGTATAGACAGTTTTCTTTGTTAGAAAGCAGGTTAGCCTGTGCATTGTTGCTCCTTTTAGAACGGCACAAGGAATTTTCCTTTCTGTCAAAAAGATTCAGAGGAAAGGCAACCCTGTTAGCAATCCTCGTCTTCCTTCTCTTCCATCAAAGCTGGTTTTCTCCAGAAATCTGTATCATTATGAAGTAAATTAGAGGAAAGGTGAGTTCAAAGTCTGTGTGAGCCTAGAGAACAGATGTGTTGCACATGATGAATTACCAGTTTCAGTTTGCAGCCACATCAAGAGAACAAAAAGCTGGTGCTGCCCAGGCACAGGGATTTATAGCTGTGCTGACAGGGATGCAGCCTTTGGCACCAGGAGGGAGCAAAGTTCCAAATTAATGCCTTCTGAATGTGTGATACATTACTGAAATGTCTTGCCACCACAAACTCCACCACCACTCTCTGAAAAATAATTGACTGAAATGCTGTTCTGGCTTCCATGGCTGCTTATTTATATATCCTCATCAGGCTTTAATCGACCTGCGCAGTTCAGCTGGAACTCAGCTCAATCCATTCAAACTGTCAAGAGAAATCTCTCTAGAGATCTTCTAGCTGTTCAAAGTGGAAATTAATTTGATCCAGAGTGACTTTTACTGGGGTGTTAATATTTCACCGCCTTCCAGATAGCTGTGACAAGGATCTGATATGTCACTTCTCCGACCAGAAGATGTGTGTTATTTCCAGCATTTTTTTGTGTTCTAGGAGTAGGTGATATGCTAGAAAATAAGTTTTGTCCATCAAAAAAAAAAAATCGTCCATCAAAAAGACTTTTGTTTTCCATCAGGAAGTCCTGTCTGATGCAAACATTAACTGAAGCCATACAGGAGATGTGAGTTAGCTCTTCTGCAGTCGGTGCCAGAGTCAGGACACCAGCAGATTCCTGTCCCTCATCCCTGACCCTTCGCAGGAAAGCACTGTCTCCCCAAGCCTGCGAGGCAAAAGGAGATGATTTGCTCTTAAAACACAGCCTCATACATAATTGCAAACTGATCTTCACAGTGAAAATTAATTGTTCAGGTTATAGATAGAACAGACCTGCGTCCTGTTCTACTACTGTACAGTGCTACAGGAAACCTCTCTCAAGGTGGATGGAGCAGCTGGGGTTTGTAACGTAGTGAACCACGGAAGTTACACCTTCCAGGGGCATGAGGTGTTCAGGGCTCATTTTCAAGGACCTTGATGCCTGGCTGGCAGGTCCTTCACACAGAGGTGCTGGCAGAAAATAAGAAATGACACGTCCACCCTGTTTATTTTAAGCCTGTTGTTTCTGGGAAAAAATTGAGAGGAGAGAACAGTCTTTTTTGGGTAAGAAAGCATTGTCACATCAGTTGGTTTCAGAGCCCCAAAGGACTTCAAATTCAGAGAGCACCTCTTGCTCTGGAGGTGGAAGAGAAGATCGCTTCCCTTCCTGGCTGTTTTTGGTGATGTAGAAGGAGTGTTATACTTGTGTGCTTACTCCTTCTTGTGCAGTTAGTTACCTCCTGGTGGTATCCTGGATTTTAAGATACACTTCGAGGGACTGTATGAAATTCCACTGAACCTTTTAAGATCAATATCTCTGGCTGTTCTTTCTCTTGATGTTGTTGTTACTAGTTGTTGTTCCTTGGCCAGTACCTTAGGAAAAATTGACAGCATTTTTTTTTTATTTTGTTCATACACAGAATTTCCTGTTTGGAAAGTTATTTCCCTGTTTGAGTCTCTTCATGGACCTCTCACAGTCTCTCAAACCATCTAGATATAACTGTTAAATGCATAAAATTTCCCAGGAACTTAATTGTGATTGATAGAGGTGCGTTCAGTCATAGTGACTCGAAGTATCTCTGCAGGCATGGTTTTGTTGAGATACCCCCAATGCATTCATAGAATCATAGAATGGCCTGAGTTGAAAAGGACCATAGTGATCATCTAGTTTCAACCCCCCGCCATATGCAGGGCCGCCAATCGCTAAACCAGGCTGCTCAGAGCCACATCCAGCCTGGCCTTGAATGCCTCCAGGGATGGGGCATCCATTCACTACATACTGTTCCTGAATTTAATAATGAAATAAGCATCAGTTGCTCGAGACTCACCTTCAGCCTTTAAATGCCTGGAATAGTAGAGAAAAGAGGGTGAACACCTTTATTTGTCCTCATTTGTTCTTGGTGACTTTCATTGTTGTTTCCTCATGTTTCCCTTGTTTCTTTTCCAGTCCCTAACTTCTATTTTTTCACATCCCAACACATCGCATAGTACCTAGTCCTTCCTTGAAGCAGGTCAAGCCAGAGAAAGCAAGTTTTATTTTCAGATGGCCTGATTTCTTTTCATTAACTTGGTCAGTCAAGCAAAGAACATCAAGACATATTGCATTTTTATGGATGGATAGACGTTCTCCCCAGACAGGGAGGACAACATACACTAATCACGTCTGTTTTTGGTAGCCAGTAAGCAAACTGAAACTAAGGAGAAAGAAACCCTTAGGAGACTTCTCATAATGACAGTGTTCTTAGAAGTTATAAAAGCATTATGTTAGATTGGAAAGTGGTATGCTTGTCTCCACTGGAAAGAGTATAGGAACATACAGAGCCAAACATGGAATTTCCCACTTTCCTGTGGAGGTGTCATTCTTGAGATCAGCGTCAAATCTTAAGATGTAGCCAGGTATAAAGGCCACAACTTTTCAGGCAATATGCAGCTGCATATATTCAGGTGTCATTTTCTTCACAGTATTTCCAAAATTGCACACATGCAGCCTTCATTGCTCTAAAATTATTTGTTTTCAGGGGGATGAAGCGGGGCAATTTTTCTGCTATCACCCAACCCAAGTACATTCCTTTTCAGGAAAGAACGGTTAAATAACACCAGTCCAGAGCAGTGCTTCAGCTCCAAACTCTGTTTGCCTGTTTCCTGGAAAACACACGTGGATAATGACTGTTTGTTGAGCACTTGTTCTCATTCCTGTGTACTTGCCTAATTGTTCCGTGGTGCATATAGCCCACAGCTTCCCAAGATGTGCATTAAATGGTTGGATAACATTGAAGGGCTTTCATGTGTCTAGGTGAAAGGTCTTTCTCCCCAAGAGTATTTATTTTGTAATCTATAGAATTCTTTATGTGATAGCTGTTTGCCTGTTTCTGTTTTGTCACTGTAGTAAAATTCCTTTTCAGGATCGCATTGTATCAATGACACTTGATAAAGAATATGATGTTGCTGTGGAAGCTATTCGATTAGTCACGCTAATACTTCAGTGAGTATTTTTCAAAACCAGTATATTCCCTTTGAAAGTTACCCAGGCCAGCAGGATTTCATTGACATCATTTCTTTGCTTGCGTGATGAAGTGAACCTGTTACTTTACACTTCGTATGAAGTTGGACTGACCGTGTAATACTACAGTCATGAAGCTAAAATACAATATTCTATCCCATGGAAATACAGTAGGCAAAATATAAAATGTATTGATGGATTGGGACAATCAGTGCCTCCCTTGCTGTGGAAGAATGCCAGAGGGCATTTATACCTTTTGCCAAGGGCAGAATAATTGTCCTCCCTGAAACAAGTATCTGTGGGTTACATTTGCTAAAAGAACTCTAGCAGTAACTAAGCAAAGATCCAGTGCAGGAGGGGACATGCTTCCAGGTCCCCAGCTGTTTCTTACAGAGATGCAGTGGCTTCCCTGAGGCAGAGATCCAGCTCAAAGATCATCCCACACGCTGACTGTGTGAACCAGCCTGTCCACAGCTCCTGCAGGAGCACTGCTCAGCTTTTATCATATCGTCATTAAAATCTATGTGAAAGAAAATACGTTTTACAAACAGTTGCACAGAATTTCTGCATCGTACTGTATACCCAGTGACTCCACTTTGAAGAACGTTTTTGTATGTGCAGAATTTGGGTGAAATATTAGACTAGCTTTTCCTCTTAGTAAAGAAGTCTGCACTTCATTTCTTTTTCTTTTTTTTTTGGTCACTTTGCTTTACAGATATTAGACTTGTAATATTAGGAAGAAAGGAAATCTCGTATCTACTGTAATATCTTTAAAGCAAATGTAACAAATATGATCACAAATGAGATGTAGAACACATCTATTCCCTACGCTATTAGCAACGTTTGGGAAAACAGTAAGATTTTAGGTCAACAATTATCCAGTGCCCCTTTTTTTTCCTGTCCTGTTTTCTCTTTGGTTGCGTGATGAAAACATCGCTAAATGCGTTTAACGGCAGAAGGATATGGGTTACTGCACAGGGCAGTATTCTGGCAGGTCAGAGCTCCAGAAAAATGTCATGAACAATCACCATGGGGAATGACCAATTCACAGTTATTTGTAGTATGAAGCCAAATGATGTATAGAGTGCTGATACATAAACGTTTCTGATGAATGCTGACTAAACAAGGAGGAAGGTAATATTCCTGTATGCGACAGTGGTGATATTTTGATCTAATTGATGGAATATAAGTGTTCCATGGCTCATAGCATTTTTCAAGAATACTGCTTAAAAATTGAAGTTTTTCAGGGTGTCAGAAAACTCATGTGCAAAATCTACCTTGAGCTCAGAAGCTGCAGAAGCCCCAACTATGTCATTCACCCAAGATAAGGGTAAAAGGAGACTTTTTCCTGTCAATAAGTAATTACAGAATATAAACTTCTCATCAGCTTTCATCCAGTGCATGTGTGTGATCAGATTCGCTGCCGTGATGTTGAAAATGAAATCTAGATCTAGTCAGCACAATAACTCCTGTAAAAGTGACGGACAGGTTATTCCATCAGCATTATTGTAGCTCTAAACGCACCCCATACTTTGGTCCCAAAGTGATCGCGTGTTGATTTGATGGGTGGATGTTCTATGTCCCCACTGTGTGGCGTGATCTGCTTCAGTCTCTGCCGCCCATCCCCAGGGTGTTTCTGTGCCTTCTCCCGCTGCTGAGGCAGTTCTGTCCCCCTGGCCTGGCCCTTTCGGCAGCTGGAAGTGGGGATGTTCCTTCCTCCTCCCCAGGCCAGCAGAGGGGCACGTCCGGCCACGCAGTGCACACGGGCGTGAACAGACCTGACTGGAGGAGGGAGCAGGCCAGGAGGCCGAGGCAGGTTTTCCCTTTTTACTTTAAAAGGTAAAAGCTTTGGAAGCAAACAGACAGTGCTATAGAAGTAAATAAGTTTAAGCAAGCAATTATGTTTTCCTCATGTAACATTCCAGGTTTTTAATTTAATAGTGTTCGCTAAGGAGTGTTTGGCAGGATGTGTGTTGTAGTTAGTGTGATGGTCTAAGTAACCAGGCAGGGCAAGATTTGTAAACAGGGATTACATTGTTTTATCATATTATTTTATATGTATTGATACAACTGGGAGAAGGAAATGAGACAAACTTTCAGTCTTAAAGGCCCTTTAAACATCTCTGTATTTGGAAATGGAACCAAAGATCCTTGAAGTCAGTGTTCAACCGTTTAGGATTTTGTAGGAAAAAAATCAATCTTGTAGCTGTCAAAAGTAAGCCATGGGAGGTGAGGGGGGTGAAATGAAACATTTGTTTTAGTTCAGGTGTTGCTTTCTGACTCTTTCAGTGGAAGCGAAGAAGCTCTGTCGAATGAAGACTGTGAGAATGTTTATCACCTGGTGTATTCGGCACACCGGCCCGTTGCGGTAGCAGCTGGAGAATTCCTTCACAAAAAGTAAGTGTTCAGTTGCCCTGGAATAAGGCCAGATTTGTGAATGCTTCCTGGCAGAGGTAAGATCAAAAGGCAAAGAAGCAATCGAGTGAAATATCCCAATTTAGCAAATCAGCTATTTAATTTAAAACAGAGGCTCATTCCCTTGTTTAAATTCAAGACCTAAGACTTGAAGAAACAGAATTTACATTTTTCTTGCTTTAGAATTCAGATAACTGTTCCTAACTCCTTAAAGGCTGCATAAACCTAAAGTTGGTTTAAATCTTGTAGCTGTTGCTGAATTACTGTTGTGATTATATGTATAGGGCCTGTACGTCCCTGATAGTCTTCCTGATAGGCAGTCATCATTTTTACAAAGCTCTAAAACAGTTTATTTCAAAATTGTGAACTTTAGACCTTTTTTTTATGGAGTAATAATTAAGAAATTTGTTTCTAAACTCACTGACTTCTCCTAAAAATGCATTACACCGTGGTTACATCTTTCACGTACCCACTCTGCCAAAGGAAATGAGCGAGCTCTTCCATGGATGTGAATCATACCGCATCAGTAACTGTGACCAGGACACTGCCACGTCACAGTAGTTAACCTTTTCCTTTTAGTGTTTGCAGCTTTTATTTTTTCCCCTCATGGGTTGGGACATTAGAGTTTAATATATTTATAGAGTATTTATGTCAGAATCCAAGTTATCTAATTTTTTGTGCCAAGATACATGTTAGAAAAAATTATGTAAAAACATGAATACAACGTTTGTGGGTAACTCATCCTTCTCTCTTCAGTGAATTGTAGCAGTGAAATCCGAATACTGCAGTTCACATTTCTAATTTGCTGTGTGACTGTGGTTTCACTGTGGAAGCAAGGAGCAGTTTTCTGACTTCTCAAACAGTCGTTGCTGTAACTGTAACGTGGACACATCTGAGATCTCTTTAAGCAAGCAAGTTTGAGCATTGAGAGTGGTTTGGAATTAGTCGTGGATCCAGAACTCAATGCAGAATGTATAATGAATGCCTGAAAAAAAACCCAGATGATTGACTGGTGCCTTGCTTTATCCTTTGCGCTGGTACTGGTACCTGAGGTTGGTTGTTCAATGGGATGGCAGGTTTGTACTGTATCCCAGTCAGTGTGACCCCGGTGAAGATACAACCTTAGTTCTTGTGGCACTAGTGGAGTAAGTGCTACCACCATTTAAGACTTGATAAGTTAAAAATGCAAAACTATACAAATTATGCAAATATATAAGACTGTGCAAAATCTTTCAATGTAAATATATTTTGGAGAGCTTTTGCCTGGGTGAAACTCTTCCAGCTCTGTGAACTCGAAGACTCTGAAGATAAATTCATCTGTAAAGACAGGCAGAGGTCATGTCATCTTTCCCGTGAAAGAAATAGCTTGAGATACTTTCAGTGTGTTTTATGACCAAATCTACTGTATCAAGAATGAATGCTCATCATACTATTGCAGCAATGAGATTTGTTTTGATGAACACGATAGCTGCTTTTGCTTGTTTTCAGATTGTTCAGCAGACATGATCCCCAAGCTGAAGAGGCTCTAGCAAAGAGGAGGGGGCGAAATAGTCCAAATGGAAACCTTATTAGGATGTTGGTTCTTTTCTTTCTTGAGAGTGAGGTAATAAAATTCATTTTTAACCTTTTCATATTTATTAAAGCCTGGAACGTAAGCAGTGATTTATCAACATACAGTAACAAGTTGTCTTTCTTTTCTTTTTCTTTTTTTTTTTGCCATAATTTCGGAAATACTGTATACCCTTTACCGTGCCCCCCGTTTCCTTGTCCATCAAGCAAATTCAACTCAAATCTTACTCACGGTTTATTTTGCTCTTGCACATCCCCACTGTACTCAGTACTGCACTGCCAGTAGTACTGTGGCTGCCGGGATTCATTGTTACGTAGAAATGTGACTGGTTGTTTTTTAAGATAACTGTGAATACCTTTGGAGTTACTCTTTGTGGAGTAAAATAATTTGAACCAGAAAGGAACAAAAATTACATAATACCTCCAATTATGATCAGAATCATGTAATAATTCAGAGTGGAAAGGACCTGGAGGTCATTAGCTCAAAGCAGAGTCAGCTGTGAGATTGGCTGAGGTTGTTCAGGGCTTTATGCTGCAGCATCCTGAACGTGTCAGAGAATGGAGACAGTGAGCATATATACGATGGCGGGAAGTGTTTGATGAACACAACACGGATGGCATTGTGCCCGTAGTTTATGTCTATGGGGACAGCATATATGGAAAGTTTTGTGGCAGACATTCTGATAGTAATTTAGGTGGTGCTGGTATTGGGGTGGAGGAAAACTTGAGAAGACAACCTATCAGGTACAGGATGCTCTGAGGATAGAGAGGGAAAGGTTTAAAAATGATACATTTGATTTGGTAATGAATAGGTGGCAAAGGGAGGCTGAAGGAAAGGAATGACAGAAAGCAAAAGGAAAGGTATCGCAATCAGGTATTTTAATTGCTGTGAAAGCTTCAACAAAAGACTTGACTGTGAGGATGAAAAGAAACACAGTCAGAGATGCTGAGAAGGAGGGATTACATTTAGGTACAGAGTTAACATTGACATTTTTAGAAAAACCTTGTAAACCTACACGTTAAGTCTGGATGAAATATCACGACCTGTGTGAGCCTTCAGTGTGCTGTCTGAATGTATTTTTAGTTCCAATTTCTTAGAAACTTAGACTGTAGTAGATCATTGTATTTTCTGGGGAAAATACCTTAAATCTGAGTGTGTGTGGCTGGGAGTTACTTAGTGTTAACCTTCTTTATCCTTCTGAGAAGAAAAGAAACTTAACCTTGCTCCCAAAGCCCCAATCAGCAAAGCACCTTCCCATGCATGGGAAGCCATGTACTGCTCCCTGAGATCGCTCCTCTCTCAGGGCCAGCCTTTGCTATCGCTGTTTCTGAGAGCGTTGTTGGAAACTAAGCAGAATATTATGACTCCACTTTTAATAAAGAGTTAGAGAATTGGGAGATTCCATCTGCATAGGACTAGAAGATGTACGCACGGCAATCTGAGAGGGTGAGTTCAGAAGAGAAGGTGAACCTGTGGCAAGCCTCAGGGAGCTCTGTGACACAGGACGTTTTGCCCAAAGCTGTCAGAAGCAGAAGAGTAGATGAACGTACTGAGACCTCCTTCCCTGCGCTCTTAGGTGTTCTCCAGTTAGGGCGTCAGTCCATGTCTGGCAAGCGGATCCCATCTACATATTGTGCTTGTTACCCTTTGGTAATGGTTAAAAAAGACTTCACAAAACAGTGGAAGGCTTGGGATTATTTTTCTCACTTTACAACAATTGTGTTAATTCGCATAAACATTTTTTGCAGTTACCATTAGTGTTAATTGTGGAGCCCCTGAAATCAGTAGGATTTCTGCTACTGTTTTCTGAACATGTAGCAGCATGTATGAAAAATAAAATTCAGAATTAATATATTAAAGCCCTCTCTTAGTCTCATGTCTCACCATGTCTGCATTTTATAATGCAGTAAGAAAGTGAGGAGAGGTAGGTTTACGGCTTCTAGATCAAAACTCCGAGAAAGATTTTTCACAAACAAGCTGCTTTATGGAGAAGAAGCTCAATTTGGTTTTATTCCATTTTCCGTTAAAACATATCCTCATTGTTGTGCAGTTGTATAATTCAGTTGGAAGATCTTCCAGAGTTAGTTTCAAACTGAATTTTCTTTCCAACTAACGTGAGAGTACATGCCCAGGACACTCTCTGTGGCCAAACGATTGTGAAAGCTGGAGAACTGCTGTTTGTACCAGAACACTGTGCTCATGGTTGCTTTGGATTTTTCTAGTTGCATGAACACGCAGCCTACTTGGTGGACAGTTTGTGGGAGAGCTCCCAGGAGCTGCTGAAAGATTGGGAATGTATGACAGAACTGCTCTTGGAGGAGCCAGTCCAAGGAGAAGAAGGTAGTTGTTTAACCTCTGTACTTTATTGATGTTGCACATGTTGATTATCCCTTAAAAAGGTGTTTCACTGCGAGTGACAGAGGTATTGATGTTGTGGTTTGTTTAGAAAGCATATTTGAAGAAGATTTTAGCTTAATCCATTTTTAATGTGTTTCTCTTCAAAGCAGGATTTTTCTACTCTTGTTTTTCATCTTGTGAAGTCTGCTGTACTCTGGCTCCCTTATGTTAAAGGCTCGGACTTCTTCCTGACGGAATGTTTAAATAACTAGTGCATACACAAACAGTTCAATAAATTCAGTAGCTAATTGAATTTTGAATAACCAAGCACTTCATGTGGTGTTAATTAAATACAGAGCTTTTCTAGACAATGTTAAAACCTAATGAATTCTTAAGAGGAATAAAAACAAGGGGATTCTTTCACCAACAGATCTGTGTGTGCACAAGGTAGCCAGGGAGGTTGTGGCGAAGAGTCCCTAACGGTAATGAGGGTCGTTCAAGATCCTTTGTAAGTGTTTGAGATTCTCCTGCTTCAGGGATTTTCAGAGGGGTTAGGTGGCTGAAAAAACAATATACTCTTGCTGCTTCCTAGCACGACGTGCTGGTCATCTCAGTGTTCCAAAATCTGGCCTTTTGGTATCCATCTGCCACAACTGTGGTATTTATATGGTAATGTCCTTAGGAAATTAGGGACTCTGGTTCTCTGGATCTGTATAGCCTAGTGGCGTTTGATCCTGTAGATGTTACCAGAAGCACTTCCCAAAGAACAGAAATACTACTTCATGACGGTGAGAATATTTTATAAGCGAGTGACAGTGAGCAGTCAGTCACTCTGTCCTCCACAACGCTCTTAATTTTGTAGATCTTTGTTACATTCCCCTTCATTCATCCTTTTTCCAGACTGCATTTCTCTGGACTTCTTTCAGTTCTGCCATATCCATTTTGAGATGATGTGAATGGTCATTCAAAGATCAAGGAGGAAAGCCTTGGTTTTATAAATGGGACTAAATGATGTTTTCTACGTTGTTCTTTGTTCCCTGTGTTTTACAACTGCAGGCACAGAATTGTCATCTTTAAGATCTCTTGCAGACACGTCTGAGCTGATGTTCCTTGTTCTCTAAAAAAATCTGACCGGCAGGAGAGCGCTCTGATTGAGCTGATGGTGTGTACCATCAGACAGGCTGCCGAAGCACATCCACCCGTAGGCAGAGGCACTGGCAAGAGAGTAAGTGGTACTCGAAATAGGTGGCTCGGACCTGTGTGTGTTACTACAGTGACATCAAATATTTGTCTACAATGCCACATATTCACACTTCTAAAGTAGATTTTTGTAATCGGTGTTTCCTGTTTCATGTGAATGTTTCTGGAGAAAAATAGTGGAAATTCTGTTTCTGGACATGTTTCGTTTTTTTGTTTGTTTGTTTCATTTTGGGTTTTTCATTGCCAAGTTAAGTAATATAAACTTACAGCATGAAAACACTTTTTAAAAATTACTTTTTAGATGTTCTTTTTATCATACCCCTGGCTTACACTTTCAGTGTACGCACATCTACAGCCCTTAATGTTAAGTGTAGTTTAGAATTGAAAGTGTAGAGCTCAGGAGCAGAACAAGATCACTGATGGACTGCCTTCCATAAAAAGGAATGTGCTGCTAATGTGGATGTAAAATTTGTAGAGAAAGCCAACAGTATCTGCATCCTGAGAGCACTGTAACAGGAGCTGAGAGTTGGTGCGGTTTCCAGGCAGTTTTCAAGGCCTGTCTGGACAAAGCCCTGAGCACCCTGGCCTGACCCCTGAGCTGGCTCTGCTTTGAGCAGGAGCTCAAAGAGAATTATGTCAATTTAATCTCAATTTAAATGTCAATGTAAGAATGTGACATTCTGGCCATATTGCAATCTAGCTGCCTCTTTTCTAGTGACTGGGGATCAGTGGAATTCCGTTCCGAAGGGTGGGCATGCACTCTTAAGCATTTCAGTGGAAGTCACAAGGGGTGATAACAGGCTTTCAGCTGTATTCTCCACAAATACAGCATGCATGTTCCAAAAGGATCTCAGCCTCCCAAATGTATCTTCCTGATTTTTGGTATTCCCCCTCTTACTTAGTTTAGAATAAAATGAAATAAACCCATGTGAACATTTGGTACTTCTGTTAGGTTCTGTTCTGAATAATCATAACTAGTTTATTAAATAAAGCCACAGACTGAATGAAGGTGAAATCTGGAGACAGACGTTGCTTTCATTGTTGCTAAATTAAATGCAGTTACTTAGCTTAATTTTTATGTGCCAAAAGCATGTCCAGAAACAGCATCCCAGGAGAAGCTCCAAGAAACCAACAGTTTAAACATGCTTTATATACTTTAATTTATAAAGCATATGCTAAGGAATTCCTAATTATTAAAAACATTTCAGGGGTGGGGAGGGAATCTACAAAAGCACTACTCAAATTTGAACAAGTATTTATTATCCTGTGTTACCACAACTGTATTGTACGTGCAACTGCACTGTTTTGTTTCTAGCTGCAAACCATTCTAGCAGACAAAGCAACCTTTAAATTTAACAGAGATTTCATGTTTGTATTTTCTGTTTGGAGCACCAAATAATGCCACTGTTAGCTTTCCAGGTATTTTTTCTATCTCAGGAGATGTACAGTTCAGTTCACTT